CTTAACCGTGCCTGGTGCTCCTCAACCCACTGATGCACTCTACCTGCAACTGGCTCTTGTACTCTACCGAGCAGAAAGTCAATGGGCAACCTGGGCTCCTGCCCAAACATGAGAAAATATGGGGACTCTCCTGTGGTCTGATGCGGGGTAGTATTATAACAAAACAGAACTTGCAGTAAACAGGAGGCCCAATCTCTCTTTCTCTCAGGGGACAAAGTTCGCAGCAAGTTGTGTAATGTTCGATTGAACCTCTCACATTGACCGTTGCCGGCCGGATGATAGGGAGTGCTGCGAGACTTACCCACCTGATAGAGACTACACAACTGCTGTATTAACTGAGATTCAAAGTTGCGGCCCTGGTCGGAATGAATCCGGCCAGGGACACCAAATCTGAAAAACCACTCATTTACCAGAACACGGGCCACGGTCTCAGCCTGCTGGTCCTTAGTGGGCACAGCCACAGTGAATTTACTGAACACGTCAGTCATCACCATCACGTTCTCTTGTCCTGAACGAGACGGCTCTAAGATGGTAAAATCAATAGCCACAATCTCGTTCGGGCGAGAAGCCAACAGATGTCCCATGTAACTCCTTGCAATCGGTGCCACATCTTTGGCCAGTTGACACCGCTCACACTCTTGCACCCAACGAGCTACATCGGCCGACATACTGGGCCAATAGCACCGCTGCCGCACCAACTCGAGGGTGCGTTCCGTCCCCTGATGACCATGGTGTTGGTGCAACTGAACCAGCACTTCTGATTGCAGTGCCACCGGCAACACCAGTTGGAATATTACTTCTCCTCCATCTGGCCGGAAGATTTTACGATGTAATAGACCCTCCTGCTCACTCAGTCGGTCCCATTGTCGAAGCAGCATCATTACAGGTTTAGCCAACTGTCGCCACTCTCTAGGCTCTGGACATTGCCCTCGCTGCCAGAACCTCCTCACTTCTCCTATAACTGGGTCTGCCACTTGCAGAGCAATAAGATCGGATAGGGAACGGCTAGGCCACGCCTGTATAGCCCCCTGGGTTGCGGCCCCTCCTGACTCTAAGACCGCCACTCGCCTTAACAGCTCTGGAACGTCAGACCCCAATGAGCAGCCACCGTTTCCTTCCGATCCAACCCCACGTAACCGAGAAAGAGCATCGGCATTCTGGTTGGTCTTACCTGAGCGGTAGTGAATCTCAAAATCGAATGCTGCTAACTCAGCGGCCCACCTTTGCTCGGTGGCCCCAAGCTTAGCTGTCGCCAGGTGACTAAGCGGGTTGTTATCAGTACGTACCAGGCACTTATGGCCGAGCAAATACTCCCTGAATTTCTCACCCATAGCCCACTTAAGGGCCAGAAACTCCAAACGCATGGAACTGTAAGTAGCGGAATTACGCTCAGCTGGCCTGAGGCTTCGGCTCGCATAAGCGACGGGTCTAACTTTACCATCAAATTCCTGTGAGAGTACTGCTCCCAGTCCCACGTGACTGGCATCGACCTCCAAGATAAAGGGCCGGGTAAAATCCGCATAAGCCAACACTGGCGCTGTAGTGAGAACCTGTTTCAATGCTTGGAACGCTTCCTCGCACTGCTCTGACCACGCTGTAGTTATTTCCTGACCTCGCTTACTGGACTTACCTCCCGTTAACATAGCCACCACTTTGTGTAACGGGGCTGCCAACTTGGCAAACCCCTCTACGAAACGCCTGTAATAGCTGACAAAACCCAAAAACGTTCGTAGCTCTAACACGGTCGTAGGATGAGGCCACTGGGCTACAGCTTCAATCTTCTTTGGGTCCGTTGCCACCCCATGAGAAGAAATCACATGACCTAAGTAACTCACTTCCTCTTGAAAGAACGCACATTTCTCCAACTTTACCTTAAGTCCCTCTGCTTTTAACCGACCCAACACTACCCTGAGTCGCTGCAGATGTTGCTGCACGGATGATGAGAATACGATAATGTCGTCGAGATATAACAAAACCGACTGATGTCTTTGGTCCCCAAAAAGTCGTTCCATCAAGCGCTGGAACGTACTGGGCGCATTGCATAGGCCAAACGGCATTCGATTCCATTCAAAGAGCCCGAATGGCGTACAAAAGGCAGTCTTAGGACGGTCAACCTCGGACACTGGAACCTGGTTGTAACCGCTGGTCAGGTCTAACGTGGAAAACCAACGGGCACCGGCTAAGGAGTCCAACGTTTCTTCGATTCGCGGTAACGGGAAAGCATCTTTGCGGGTCTTGGCATTAAGTTGGCGGTAGTCAACACACATACGGAGGCTGCCGTCCTTTTTCCTCACTAGTACTATGGGAGAGGCGTAGGGGCTGCAACTCTCCCGAATAATCTGTGCGTCGAGCAACTGACTAATATGAGTTTTTACCAGGTCATATTCTGATGGTGGAATACGCCTGTACCGCTGTCGGACCGGAATATCATCGCTAAGAGGGATCTCATGTGACAAGAGATTAGTGCAACCTACATCTCCTTCATGGGTAGAAAACACATCTTTAAACTCCCGGAGTAACGCTCTGACCTGCTCTCGTTCCTCTGCAGTTAATGCACCCAACTCAACAGATCCAATCTGTTCTGGTATACCTGTGGCTGAGACACTGCACGATGCTGCCTGGGTGCTCGCTATAGGAACCTCCGTTAACCCGTCGGGTAGGTCCACCAAATACACCTCTCGCAGTGTACCTACTATCGTAGTGGGGTAAAGCACTACATCAACAGTCCCCACATTCACCACCGGTACATAAACGGTACCCCCAGTTACTCGCACCAGTGAAGAAAAGGCCAATAAACCTGCAGGCAAGCCTATCTCTGGGGGCTCAAAAAGTACTGTAAAAGTTCTACCCAGTATACCACCCGTATACTGGGTAGAACACGTAGCTGCTACAAATTTGATAGTGCCAGCTGTAACACGGCATGTACTACATCCTCGTACTCTCACCTTACTGCCCTGTTCAGCAGTGCGAATGACCCGTTGGCATTCTTGGAAGGCCTGGATAATCTTAGCATCCTTTTTTACTGACGGGAGGGTATATAACATCGACCCATGGTGTCCGAAAAGGCCCTGGTAACAACGACTGAGCACATTCATTCCTAGAATACCCGGGGTATCGGAGCTACCCCCGGGGGGATCTCGGACCACTAGTACGCCACATCCCTGGACAAGATTACCGCAGAGTTCAATATCCACCTCCCAGTAGCCAATATAGGGAATCTCCAGTCCATTCGCCGCTTTGAGCTGCAGCCAATGGCACGACTGTAAACGATCCTGGCCCCATGGTTCAAACCTAAGCCGAAAACAACTCTCGGTAATGGTTGACACCATGGACCCAGTATCGATCAGACAAGGCACAGGAATCCCCCCCATCTTAACAACTAAGTGTGGACATGAGGACACCAAACGGGACACAAGTTGGTTATCATTAAAAACTTGCAAGCCACGAGTTTCCCCTACCGGACTGTGGCTTCGCAGCCCGGTGGGAATTAGTTTTCCGGCGGTTGAGTGCTGGACGCCGGCCTACATCCACCAGGATCGGAAGCAAACGCTGGTGGCAGAGGGCGAGGGAGATGTCGTTCACCATCACAATTTCGGGCAATATGACGGGTCGTTGGCATCTCCTACAAATTATGGTATTTGAACGAGGCGAGCGATCGCGTAAGGGCACATTTTGATTACGGGACACAACTTGAGTGAGCTGATCAATCTGACGTTGCTGCTGACGCAGCAACTCCCGCAGTTCGGCAAACTCACCCGACCGAACCCCATGATCCAAATCGGACCCTCCCCGAACACCATATTGAATGCCACTTACCAACGGTACCGATTGACTCCTACCCCTCGAACCACCCGGCGTCCCCTCCCTTTCCCAGCGAATGGCCTCCGCTCGCATCTCCAATAACGTTGCAGTGGGCTGTCGTCGAACCATTTGTTTCAGTTCCCGACGGAGTGTATTATCAGACACATATTCGACAAATTGATCACGTACGACGATATCAGCATTGGGAATGGCATGTGGAGCTTGACTTTTCACTTTATCCAACAAGCTCATCAGGCCCAGGGAGAACTCTAGTAATGTTTCTCCCTCACGTTGTCTGCGAGAAAAGAATGCCTCCAGCAGCGCAACGTATGAATCCGCACACCCATACACTTCGCGAAGAGCAGAAATTATCTTGTCAGGATCACTCCTGTCCGCAAGCGAACGATACTTAATTTCGTCACGGGCTTCTCCTTCCAGATTATCATATAGGAAGAAGGCCCGTTCGGTACGTGACATATTACGTGTGCGCATACACGCTTGGGCCTCTTCGACCCACTCATCGAGGTTAACACTAGTCCTACCATTAAATCTTGGACAGCGTCGTTCTCTTGGGACGAACACGAATCGTTCCGATGCGCCGTCACTCCTATCAGCCAACTGAGGTGTAACCGGTTGTGTCGCACTAGTAGAGGCAGCGCCAGGGTCACGGGAGTCAACCGAAACTTGCTCCTGCCGCAGCCTCTCATTATCTGCCCGTAATTGAGCCACTAAATCTTGCATTTCCCGCAGCTCCTCCTCCATGATAAAATACACACAAAAAAAAATCACTTACCCAAACGGAATGACCAATAAAACAGCCACCACTGTTCTGAAGAGAGGGGGAGAAAAAAAAAAAAAAAAAAAAAGAGAGAAAAGAACACCAATGTCTCAATCTCCTAAACAACAGCCGTGATCCTGCCGACTACGCCAAATGTGGCGTCTCTATGATTCGATAGGGGGAGTGTAAACTGAAAAAAAAAACAAATTTACACCTCTAAAATGCTCGACTACGCCACCCCAGAGGCAACATTTCCAGGGAATCGCCTTTCAGAATGATTTAAAGCACACAAGTTCGGTCACGGCTGAGTCAAGATCAGAAACAGAGGTGTAGTACAAAAATATAATTTTATTAACAACCATTAAACAGCATGTACCAATAGTCGAGTAAAAGAAAATATCGCACACACACACACACACTGCTACACCTGCTCCAGGGCTGAGAACCACTCGCTTATCCTCAAGGAACCACGGCAACCACACGTGCACTCACACTGCACCTCAAATGTGAACCACCGCACACGGAAGAGGAACCCACCACCAAACAGAGAGGAAGGCTCGTCCACACACACGGGTCTGGGTCCCCGACCCCCCTGGAGAGAGAGCAAAAGTTCCAATTACACATACACACTTATTTTCCTAAAACTTGGTACTCAAAAAAAGAAAATGCAATATAAACAACCTACACAAAACCTTAACAAACAAAATTAAATAAATGCACAATTAAGTAAATTCACAAACTGGTCGAAGAGAGATTGCTTAATAGCTGATTTAGAATACTGGGTAAGCAATCAACCAGATCACAGAAAACTCACAATCCCACAAGAAAATAATAATAATCAAAAAGAAGATAAATACACAAACATGTTGACCAAAGAAAACGAAAATTCACAAAAACTTGGCTGGTACAAATAAAGAAAAATAAATCACAAGGAGAAACCAATCATTTAAATTATACCAGATCTTATTCACAACCATCATAAAGAACAAAATAAAGAAATAAACCAACTAAAGAGAAACATTAAAACACAAAAGCGCTTTCCATCTCGATATTGGCTAGTGAATGGCTAGTGGATGGTCAAACCGTTTCGAGGGGTTGTGGAGGAAGAGAAGGCGAGTTACGTTGCCGAATCTGCGACACACCAGGCGGCCACTCCAGCAGACGTTAAAGTGTCCAGCTTCGGAACTCACACAGAATATCGGCAAAACGCCCAGCAACAGCACGTGAGCACTGATCGCTGGCAAGGTGCAATCGATCTGCCGGTCTATACTGCAGCACCCCGCTGAGGGAGATTCAGCAAACTTCAAGAGTCGTCGTGAGGATTTAACCATACGAATAGCAACAAAGAAAACACGCTGGCAAAAGAGAGCGGCCAACAGAAAGCCCACTGCAACGTCCCGCACTCTGTCATATCACGGAAAGATAAGGAAAAGATTAAGTAACCCACCCCACAACAACACGACTAATAATAAAACAACCTACCGGTTTGAACTTGTGGCACTAAAACATCCTATTGCAACGCACGTCGCTATAATGTATCACCGGAGTCCTCAGTCCACACTATAGGGAAAGGAGCCAGATAAGTAAATACAATCTTTACTCAAGATCAACACGTAGAAGTACAGCCACAACTGCAGCTCCTTACCAGACAGACAATTCCGTGACACGCCGGAAATGGATCACGTCACTCGTGACGATGGGACGCACATCCCAAAGGCACTACCGCGCTGCTTTTATAGTCCACTAAATCATGCGAAATAGACCCGCCCCGTCGTTATGCCAACGGCAATTACTAACAACTGCTACAATCTACCCCCCCTTTTGTCGTCGTCGTCCCGACGAGGATCCATCCTTCCAAGTGTACCATCTGATGACAAATCTAACACCAAGGTCTAAATACGGCTCTGATGGAGTTGGATGCTGATGCAAGAGGATTACTAGGTCTTACCTCCCCTCCTACCGCTTGTGGCAAGTGGTGCACATTAGAATGTTGTCCTGCCCCAATTCGTCTTGTTCTACGCAGGGTTACCTCAGGCTGGACATCTGGACCACCTTCGGTAGGTCCAGGTACCGGTAAAGGACTCGTGCCACCATCACTAACCTCAACCTCTGCGGAATCAACTGTACTGGAAACGGGAACATCGACCTGCCTCAAAGGAGACCTACTCAAAGTAACCCTCTGATCTACTGTGGGAACTCTTGATACCACATAAACCAGGTCACCTTCTATTGGTTCCTCCGCCTCAATTGCAACCGCAACTGGCGATTCAACCCGAACCTCAGGGAGGTCGAGTGCCACCTCTCCCTGGGCTCTGGGTTTCAACGAAGAACGATGGACGTGCCGTACCTTCTCCCGATCCTGCTCTGGAGCTATCGTATACACAGATCCACCCACCGGTGGGGCCTTAACAAACCGATATAAAGTTGAACTCCACAGATCATGTATCTTATGACGACCCCGGACCCCGTGATCACGCAGGTAAACCAACTGACCTTCATACAACGGCAGTTCCTTGACCCGTCGATCATGTTTAACCTTACGCCGGTTTGCGGCCACCTGCAGCCTATCTCGTGCACCCTCAAAAGCAACCCTTAACCGTGCCTGGTGCTCCTCAACCCACTGATGCACTCTACCTGCAACTGGCTCTTGTACTCTACCGAGCAGAAAGTCAATGGGCAACCTGGGCTCCTGCCCAAACATGAGAAAATATGGGGACTCTCCTGTGGTCTGATGCGGGGTAGTATTATAACAAAACAGAACTTGCAGTAAACAGGAGGCCCAATCTCTCTTTCTCTCAGGGGACAAAGTTCGCAGCAAGTTGTGTAATGTTCGATTGAACCTCTCACATTGACCGTTGCCGGCCGGATGATAGGGAGTGCTGCGAGACTTACCCACCTGATAGAGACTACACAACTGCTGTATTAACTGAGATTCAAAGTTGCGGCCCTGGTCGGAATGAATCCGGCCAGGGACACCAAATCTGAAAAACCACTCATTTACCAGAACACGGGCCACGGTCTCAGCCTGCTGGTCCTTAGTGGGCACAGCCACAGTGAATTTACTGAACACGTCAGTCATCACCATCACGTTCTCTTGTCCTGAACGAGACGGCTCTAAGATGGTAAAATCAATAGCCACAATCTCGTTCGGGCGAGAAGCCAACAGATGTCCCATGTAACTCCTTGCAATCGGTGCCACATCTTTGGCCAGTTGACACCGCTCACACTCTTGCACCCAACGAGCTACATCGGCCGACATACTGGGCCAATAGCACCGCTGCCGCACCAACTCGAGGGTGCGTTCCGTCCCCTGATGACCATGGTGTTGGTGCAACTGAACCAGCACTTCTGATTGCAGTGCCACCGGCAACACCAGTTGGAATATTACTTCTCCTCCATCTGGCCGGAAGATTTTACGATGTAATAGACCCTCCTGCTCACTCAGTCGGTCCCATTGTCGAAGCAGCATCATTACAGGTTTAGCCAACTGTCGCCACTCTCTAGGCTCTGGACATTGCCCTCGCTGCCAGAACCTCCTCACTTCTCCTATAACTGGGTCTGCCACTTGCAGAGCAATAAGATCGGATAGGGAACGGCTAGGCCACGCCTGTATAGCCCCCTGGGTTGCGGCCCCTCCTGACTCTAAGACCGCCACTCGCCTTAACAGCTCTGGAACGTCAGACCCCAATGAGCAGCCACCGTTTCCTTCCGATCCAACCCCACGTAACCGAGAAAGAGCATCGGCATTCTGGTTGGTCTTACCTGAGCGGTAGTGAATCTCAAAATCGAATGCTGCTAACTCAGCGGCCCACCTTTGCTCGGTGGCCCCAAGCTTAGCTGTCGCCAGGTGACTAAGCGGGTTGTTATCAGTACGTACCAGGCACTTATGGCCGAGCAAATACTCCCTGAATTTCTCACCCATAGCCCACTTAAGGGCCAGAAACTCCAAACGCATGGAACTGTAAGTAGCGGAATTACGCTCAGCTGGCCTGAGGCTTCGGCTCGCATAAGCGACGGGTCTAACTTTACCATCAAATTCCTGTGAGAGTACTGCTCCCAGTCCCACGTGACTGGCATCGACCTCCAAGATAAAGGGCCGGGTAAAATCCGCATAAGCCAACACTGGCGCTGTAGTGAGAACCTGTTTCAATGCTTGGAACGCTTCCTCGCACTGCTCTGACCACGCTGTAGTTATTTCCTGACCTCGCTTACTGGACTTACCTCCCGTTAACATAGCCACCACTTTGTGTAACGGGGCTGCCAACTTGGCAAACCCCTCTACGAAACGCCTGTAATAGCTGACAAAACCCAAAAACGTTCGTAGCTCTAACACGGTCGTAGGATGAGGCCACTGGGCTACAGCTTCAATCTTCTTTGGGTCCGTTGCCACCCCATGAGAAGAAATCACATGACCTAAGTAACTCACTTCCTCTTGAAAGAACGCACATTTCTCCAACTTTACCTTAAGTCCCTCTGCTTTTAACCGACCCAACACTACCCTGAGTCGCTGCAGATGTTGCTGCACGGATGATGAGAATACGATAATGTCGTCGAGATATAACAAAACCGACTGATGTCTTTGGTCCCCAAAAAGTCGTTCCATCAAGCGCTGGAACGTACTGGGCGCATTGCATAGGCCAAACGGCATTCGATTCCATTCAAAGAGCCCGAATGGCGTACAAAAGGCAGTCTTAGGACGGTCAACCTCGGACACTGGAACCTGGTTGTAACCGCTGGTCAGGTCTAACGTGGAAAACCAACGGGCACCGGCTAAGGAGTCCAACGTTTCTTCGATTCGCGGTAACGGGAAAGCATCTTTGCGGGTCTTGGCATTAAGTTGGCGGTAGTCAACACACATACGGAGGCTGCCGTCCTTTTTCCTCACTAGTACTATGGGAGAGGCGTAGGGGCTGCAACTCTCCCGAATAATCTGTGCGTCGAGCAACTGACTAATATGAGTTTTTACCAGGTCATATTCTGATGGTGGAATACGCCTGTACCGCTGTCGGACCGGAATATCATCGCTAAGAGGGATCTCATGTGACAAGAGATTAGTGCAACCTACATCTCCTTCATGGGTAGAAAACACATCTTTAAACTCCCGGAGTAACGCTCTGACCTGCTCTCGTTCCTCTGCAGTTAATGCACCCAACTCAACAGATCCAATCTGTTCTGGTATACCTGTGGCTGAGACACTGCACGATGCTGCCTGGGTGCTCGCTATAGGAACCTCCGTTAACCCGTCGGGTAGGTCCACCAAATACACCTCTCGCAGTGTACCTACTATCGTAGTGGGGTAAAGCACTACATCAACAGTCCCCACATTCACCACCGGTACATAAACGGTACCCCCAGTTACTCGCACCAGTGAAGAAAAGGCCAATAAACCTGCAGGCAAGCCTATCTCTGGGGGCTCAAAAAGTACTGTAAAAGTTCTACCCAGTATACCACCCGTATACTGGGTAGAACACGTAGCTGCTACAAATTTGATAGTGCCAGCTGTAACACGGCATGTACTACATCCTCGTACTCTCACCTTACTGCCCTGTTCAGCAGTGCGAATGACCCGTTGGCATTCTTGGAAGGCCTGGATAATCTTAGCATCCTTTTTTACTGACGGGAGGGTATATAACATCGACCCATGGTGTCCGAAAAGGCCCTGGTAACAACGACTGAGCACATTCATTCCTAGAATACCCGGGGTATCGGAGCTACCCCCGGGGGGATCTCGGACCACTAGTACGCCACATCCCTGGACAAGATTACCGCAGAGTTCAATATCCACCTCCCAGTAGCCAATATAGGGAATCTCCAGTCCATTCGCCGCTTTGAGCTGCAGCCAATGGCACGACTGTAAACGATCCTGGCCCCATGGTTCAAACCTAAGCCGAAAACAACTCTCGGTAATGGTTGACACCATGGACCCAGTATCGATCAGACAAGGCACAGGAATCCCCCCCATCTTAACAACTAAGTGTGGACATGAGGACACCAAACGGGACACAAGTTGGTTATCATTAAAAACTTGCAAGCCACGAGTTTCCCCTACCGGACTGTGGCTTCGCAGCCCGGTGGGAATTAGTTTTCCGGCGGTTGAGTGCTGGACGCCGGCCTACATCCACCAGGATCGGAAGCAAACGCTGGTGGCAGAGGGCGAGGGAGATGTCGTTCACCATCACAATTTCGGGCAATATGACGGGTCGTTGGCATCTCCTACAAATTATGGTATTTGAACGAGGCGAGCGATCGCGTAAGGGCACATTTTGATTACGGGACACAACTTGAGTGAGCTGATCAATCTGACGTTGCTGCTGACGCAGCAACTCCCGCAGTTCGGCAAACTCACCCGACCGAACCCCATGATCCAAATCGGACCCTCCCCGAACACCATATTGAATGCCACTTACCAACGGTACCGATTGACTCCTACCCCTCGAACCACCCGGCGTCCCCTCCCTTTCCCAGCGAATGGCCTCCGCTCGCATCTCCAATAACGTTGCAGTGGGCTGTCGTCGAACCATTTGTTTCAGTTCCCGACGGAGTGTATTATCAGACACATATTCGACAAATTGATCACGTACGACGATATCAGCATTGGGAATGGCATGTGGAGCTTGACTTTTCACTTTATCCAACAAGCTCATCAGGCCCAGGGAGAACTCTAGTAATGTTTCTCCCTCACGTTGTCTGCGAGAAAAGAATGCCTCCAGCAGCGCAACGTATGAATCCGCACACCCATACACTTCGCGAAGAGCAGAAATTATCTTGTCAGGATCACTCCTGTCCGCAAGCGAACGATACTTAATTTCGTCACGGGCTTCTCCTTCCAGATTATCATATAGGAAGAAGGCCCGTTCGGTACGTGACATATTACGTGTGCGCATACACGCTTGGGCCTCTTCGACCCACTCATCGAGGTTAACACTAGTCCTACCATTAAATCTTGGACAGCGTCGTTCTCTTGGGACGAACACGAATCGTTCCGATGCGCCGTCACTCCTATCAGCCAACTGAGGTGTAACCGGTTGTGTCGCACTAGTAGAGGCAGCGCCAGGGTCACGGGAGTCAACCGAAACTTGCTCCTGCCGCAGCCTCTCATTATCTGCCCGTAATTGAGCCACTAAATCTTGCATTTCCCGCAGCTCCTCCTCCATGATAAAATACACACAAAAAAAAATCACTTACCCAAACGGAATGACCAATAAAACAGCCACCACTGTTCTGAAGAGAGGGGGAGAAAAAAAAAAAAAAAAAAAAAGAGAGAAAAGAACACCAATGTCTCAATCTCCTAAACAACAGCCGTGATCCTGCCGACTACGCCAAATGTGGCGTCTCTATGATTCGATAGGGGGAGTGTAAACTGAAAAAAAAAACAAATTTACACCTCTAAAATGCTCGACTACGCCACCCCAGAGGCAACATTTCCAGGGAATCGCCTTTCAGAATGATTTAAAGCACACAAGTTCGGTCACGGCTGAGTCAAGATCAGAAACAGAGGTGTAGTACAAAAATATAATTTTATTAACAACCATTAAACAGCATGTACCAATAGTCGAGTAAAAGAAAATATCGCACACACACACACACACTGCTACACCTGCTCCAGGGCTGAGAACCACTCGCTTATCCTCAAGGAACCACGGCAACCACACGTGCACTCACACTGCACCTCAAATGTGAACCACCGCACACGGAAGAGGAACCCACCACCAAACAGAGAGGAAGGCTCGTCCACACACACGGGTCTGGGTCCCCGACCCCCCTGGAGAGAGAGCAAAAGTTCCAATTACACATACACACTTATTTTCCTAAAACTTGGTACTCAAAAAAAGAAAATGCAATATAAACAACCTACACAAAACCTTAACAAACAAAATTAAATAAATGCACAATTAAGTAAATTCACAAACTGGTCGAAGAGAGATTGCTTAATAGCTGATTTAGAATACTGGGTAAGCAATCAACCAGATCACAGAAAACTCACAATCCCACAAGAAAATAATAATAATCAAAAAGAAGATAAATACACAAACATGTTGACCAAAGAAAACGAAAATTCACAAAAACTTGGCTGGTACAAATAAAGAAAAATAAATCACAAGGAGAAACCAATCATTTAAATTATACCAGATCTTATTCACAACCATCATAAAGAACAAAATAAAGAAATAAACCAACTAAAGAGAAACATTAAAACACAAAAGCGCTTTCCATCTCGATATTGGCTAGTGAATGGCTAGTGGATGGTCAAACCGTTTCGAGGGGTTGTGGAGGAAGAGAAGGCGAGTTACGTTGCCGAATCTGCGACACACCAGGCGGCCACTCCAGCAGACGTTAAAGTGTCCAGCTTCGGAACTCACACAGAATATCGGCAAAACGCCCAGCAACAGCACGTGAGCACTGATCGCTGGCAAGGTGCAATCGATCTGCCGGTCTATACTGCAGCACCCCGCTGAGGGAGATTCAGCAAACTTCAAGAGTCGTCGTGAGGATTTAACCATACGAATAGCAACAAAGAAAACACGCTGGCAAAAGAGAGCGGCCAACAGAAAGCCCACTGCAACGTCCCGCACTCTGTCATATCACGGAAAGATAAGGAAAAGATTAAGTAACCCACCCCACAACAACACGACTAATAATAAAACAACCTACCGGTTTGAACTTGTGGCACTAAAACATCCTATTGCAACGCACGTCGCTATAATGTATCACCGGAGTCCTCAGTCCACACTATAGGGAAAGGAGCCAGATAAGTAAATACAATCTTTACTCAAGATCAACACGTAGAAGTACAGCCACAACTGCAGCTCCTTACCAGACAGACAATTCCGTGACACGCCGGAAATGGATCACGTCACTCGTGACGATGGGACGCACATCCCAAAGGCACTACCGCGCTGCTTTTATAGTCCACTAAATCATGCGAAATAGACCCGCCCCGTCGTTATGCCAACGGCAATTACTAACAACTGCTACAATCTACCCCCCCTTTTGTCGTCGTCGTCCCGACGAGGATCCATCCTTCCAAGTGTACCATCTGATGACAAATCTAACACCAAGGTCTAAATACGGCTCTGATGGAGTTGGATGCTGATGCAAGAGGATTACTAGGTCTTACCTCCCCTCCTACCGCTTGTGGCAAGTGGTGCACATTAGAATGTTGTCCTGCCCCAATTCGTCTTGTTCTACGCAGGGTTACCTCAGGCTGGACATCTGGACCACCTTCGGTAGGTCCAGGTACCGGTAAAGGACTCGTGCCACCATCACTAACCTCAACCTCTGCGGAATCAACTGTACTGGAAACGGGAACATCGACCTGCCTCAAAGGAGACCTACTCAAAGTAACCCTCTGATCTACTGTGGGAACTCTTGATACCACATAAACCAGGTCACCTTCTATTGGTTCCTCCGCCTCAATTGCAACCGCAACTGGCGATTCAACCCGAACCTCAGGGAGGTCGAGTGCCACCTCTCCCTGGGCTCTGGGTTTCAACGAAGAACGATGGACGTGCCGTACCTTCTCCCGATCCTGCTCTGGAGCTATCGTATACACAGATCCACCCACCGGTGGGGCCTTAACAAACCGATATAAAGTTGAACTCCACAGATCATGTATCTTATGACGACCCCGGACCCCGTGATCACGCAGGTAAACCAACTGACCTTCATACAACGGCAGTTCCTTGACCCGTCGATCATGTTTAACCTTACGCCGGTTTGCGGCCACCTGCAGCCTATCTCGTGCACCCTCAAAAGCAACCCTTAACCGTGCCTGGTGCTCCTCAACCCACTGATGCACTCTACCTGCAACTGGCTCTTGTACTCTACCGAGCAGAAAGTCAATGGGCAACCTGGGCTCCTGCCCAAACATGAGAAAATATGGGGACTCTCCTGTGGTCTGATGCGGGGTAGTATTATAACAAAACAGAACTTGCAGTAAACAGGAGGCCCAATCTCTCTTTCTCTCAGGGGACAAAGTTCGCAGCAAGTTGTGTAATGTTCGATTGAACCTCTCACATTGACCGTTGCCGGCCGGATGATAGGGAGTGCTGCGAGACTTACCCACCTGATAGAGACTACACAACTGCTGTATTAACTGAGATTCAAAGTTGCGGCCCTGGTCGGAATGAATCCGGCCAGGGACACCAAATCTGAAAAACCACTCATTTACCAGAACACGGGCCACGGTCTCAGCCTGCTGGTCCTTAGTGGGCACAGCCACAGTGAATTTACTGAACACGTCAGTCATCACCATCACGTTCTCTTGTCCTGAACGAGACGGCTCTAAGATGGTAAAATCAATAGCCACAATCTCGTTCGGGCGAGAAGCCAACAGATGTCCCATGTAACTCCTTGCAATCGGTGCCACATCTTTGGCCAGTTGACACCGCTCACACTCTTGCACCCAACGAGCTACATCGGCCGACATACTGGGCCAATAGCACCGCTGCCGCACCAACTCGAGGGTGCGTTCCGTCCCCTGATGACCATGGTGTTGGTGCAACTGAACCAGCACTTCTGATTGCAGTGCCACCGGCAACACCAGTTGGAATATTACTTCTCCTCCATCTGGCCGGAAGATTTTACGATGTAATAGACCCTCCTGCTCACTCAGTCGGTCCCATTGTCGAAGCAGCATCATTACAGGTTTAGCCAACTGTCGCCACTCTCTAGGCTCTGGACATTGCCCTCGCTGCCAGAACCTCCTCACTTCTCCTATAACTGGGTCTGCCACTTGCAGAGCAATAAGATCGGATAGGGAACGGCTAGGCCACGCCTGTATAGCCCCCTGGGTTGCGGCCCCTCCTGACTCTAAGACCGCCACTCGCCTTAACAGCTCTGGAACGTCAGACCCCAATGAGCAGCCACCGTTTCCTTCCGATCCAACCCCACGTAACCGAGAAAGAGCATCGGCATTCTGGTTGGTCTTACCTGAGCGGTAGTGAATCTGAAAATCGAATGCTGCTAACTCAGCGGCCCACCTTTGCTCGGTGGCCCCAAGCTTAGCTGTCGCCAGGTGACTAAGCGGGTTGTTATCAGTACGTACCAGGCACTTATGGCCGAGCAAATACTCCCTGAATTTCTCACCCATAGCCCACTTAAGGGCCAGAAACTCCAAACGCATGGAACTGTAAGTAGCGGAATTACGCTCAGCTGGCCTGAGGCTTCGGCTCGCATAAGCGACGGGTCTAACTTTACCATCAAATTCCTGTGAGAGTACTGCTCCCAGTCCCACGTGACTGGCATCGACCTCCAAGATAAAGGGCCGGGTAAAATCCGCATAAGCCAACACTGGCGCTGTAGTGAGAACCTGTTTCAATGCTTGGAACGCTTCCTCGCACTGCTCTGACCACGCTGTAGTTATTTCCTGACCTCGCTTACTGGACTTACCTCCCGTTAACATAGCCACCACTTTGTGTAACGGGGCTGCCAACTTGGCAAACCCCTCTACGAAACGCCTGTAATAGCTGACAAAACCCAAAAACGTTCGTAGCTCTAACACGGTCGTAGGATGAGGCCACTGGGCTACAGCTTCAATCTTCTTTGGGTCCGTTGCCACCCCATGAGAAGAAATCACATGACCTAAGTAACTCACTTCCTCTTGAAAGAACGCACATTTCTCCAACTTTACCTTAAGTCCCTCTGCTTTTAACCGACCCAACACTACCCTGAGTCGCTGCAGATGTTGCTGCACGGATGATGAGAATACGATAATGTCGTCGAGATATAACAAAACCGACTGATGTCTTTGGTCCCCAAAAAGTCGTTCCATCAAGCGCTGGAACGTACTGGGCGCATTGCATAGGCCAAACGGCATTCGATTCCATTCAAAGAGCCCGAATGGCGTACAAAAGGCAGTCTTAGGACGGTCAACCTCGGACACTGGAACCTGGTTGTAACCGCTGGTCAGGTCTAACGTGGAAAACCAACGGGCACCGGCTAAGGAGTCCAACGTTTCTTCGATTCGCGGTAACGGGAAAGCATCTTTGCGGGTCTTGGCATTAAGTTGGCGGTAGTCAACACACATACGGAGGCTGCCGTCCTTTTTCCTCACTAGTACTATGGGAGAGGCGTAGGGGCTGCAACTCTCCCGAATAATCTGTGCGTCGAGCAACTGACTAATATGAGTTTTTACCAGGTCATATTCTGATGGTGGAATACGCCTGTACCGCTGTCGGACCGGAATATCATCGCTAAGAGGGATCTCATGTGACAAGAGATTAGTGCAACCTACATCTCCTTCATGGGTAGAAAACACATCTTTAAACTCCCGGAGTAACGCTCTGACCTGCTCTCGTTCCTCTGCAGTTAATGCACCCAACTCAACAGATCCAATCTGTTCTGGTATACCTGTGGCTGAGACACTGCACGATGCTGCCTGGGTGCTCGCTATAGGAACCTCCGTTAACCCGTCGGGTAGGTCCACCAAATACACCTCTCGCAGTGTACCTACTATCGTAGTGGGGTAAAGCACTACATCAACAGTCCCCACATTCACCACCGGTACATAAACGGTACCCCCAGTTACTCGCACCAGTGAAGAAAAGGCCAATAAACCTGCAGGCAAGCCTATCTCTGGGGGCTCAAAAAGTACTGTAAAAGTTCTACCCAGTATACCACCCGTATACTGGGTAGAACACGTAGCTGCTACAAATTTGATAGTGCCAGCTGTAACACGGCATGTACTACATCCTCGTACTCTCACCTTACTGCCCTGTTCAGCAGTGCGAATGACCCGTTGGCATTCTTGGAAGGCCTGGATAATCTTAGCATCCTTTTTTACTGACGGGAGGGTATATAACATCGACCCATGGTGTCCGAAAAGGCCCTGGTAACAACGACTGAGCACATTCATTCCTAGAATACCCGGGGTATCGGAGCTACCCCCGGGGGGATCTCGGACCACTAGTACGCCACATCCCTGGACAAGATTACCGCAGAGTTCAATATCCACCTCCCAGTAGCCAATATAGGGAATCTCCAGTCCATTCGCCGCTTTGAGCTGCAGCCAATGGCACGACTGTAAACGATCCTGGCCCCATGGTTCAAACCTAAGCCGAAAACAACTCTCGGTAATGGTTGACACCATGGACCCAGTATCGATCAGACAAGGCACAGGAATCCCCCCCATCTTAACAACTAAGTGTGGACATGAGGACACCAAACGGGACACAAGTTGGTTATCATTAAAAACTTGCAAGCCACGAGTTTCCCCTACCGGACTGTGGCTTCGCAGCCCGGTGGGAATTAGTTTTCCGGCGGTTGAGTGCTGGACGCCGGCCTACATCCACCAGGATCGGAAGCAAACGCTGGTGGCAGAGGGCGAGGGAGATGTCGTTCACCATCACAATTTCGGGCAATATGACGGGTCGTTGGCATCTCCTACAAATTATGGTATTTGAACGAGGCGAGCGATCGCGTAAGGGCACATTTTGATTACGGGACACAACTTGAGTGAGCTGATCAATCTGACGTTGCTGCTGACGCAGCAACTCCCGCAGTTCGGCAAACTCACCCGACCGAACCCCATGATCCAAATCGGACCCTCCCCGAACACCATATTGAATGCCACTTACCAACGGTACCGATTGACTCCTACCCCTCGAACCACCCGGCGTCCCCTCCCTTTCCCAGCGAATGGCCTCCGCTCGCATCTCCAATAACGTTGCAGTGGGCTGTCGTCGAACCATTTGTTTCAGTTCCCGACGGAGTGTATTATCAGACACATATTCGACAAATTGATCACGTACGACGATATCAGCATTGGGAATGGCATGTGGAGCTTGACTTTTCACTTTATCCAACAAGCTCATCAGGCCCAGGGAGAACTCTAGTAATGTTTCTCCCTCACGTTGTCTGCGAGAAAAGAATGCCTCCAGCAGCGCAACGTATGAATCCGCACACCCATACACTTCGCGAAGAGCAGAAATTATCTTGTCAGGATCACTCCTGTCCGCAAGCGAACGATACTTAATTTCGTCACGGGCTTCTCCTTCCAGATTATCATATAGGAAGAAGGCCCGTTCGGTACGTGACATATTACGTGTGCGCATACACGCTTGGGCCTCTTCGACCCACTCATCGAGGTTAACACTAGTCCTACCATTAAATCTTGGACAGCGTCGTTCTCTTGGGACGAACACGAATCGTTCCGATGCGCCGTCACTCCTATCAGCCAACTGAGGTGTAACCGGTTGTGTCGCACTAGTAGAGGCAGCGCCAGGGTCACGGGAGTCAACCGAAACTTGCTCCTGCCGCAGCCTCTCATTATCTGCCCGTAATTGAGCCACTAAATCTTGCATTTCCCGCAGCTCCTCCTCCATGATAAAATACACACAAAAAAAAATCACTTACCCAAACGGAATGACCAATAAAACAGCCACCACTGTTCTGAAGAGAGGGGGAGAAAAAAAAAAAAAAAAAAAAAAAAGAGAGAAAAGAACACCAATGTCTCAATCTCCTAAACAACAGCCGTGATCCTGCCGACTACGCCAAATGTGGCGTCTCTATGATTCGATAGGGGGAGTGTAAACTGAAAAAAAAAACAAATTTACACCTCTAAAATGCTCGACTACGCCACCCCAGAGGCAACATTTCCAGGGAATCGCCTTTCAGAATGATTTAAAGCACACAAGTTCGGTCACGGCTGAGTCAAGATCAGAAACAGAGGTGAAGTACAAAAATATAATTTTATTAACAACCATTAAACAGCATGTACCAATAGTCGAGTAAAAGAAAATATCGCACACACACACACACACTGCTACACCTGCTCCAGGGCTGAGAACCACTCGCTTATCCTCAAGGAACCACGGCAACCACACGTGCACTCACACTGCACCTCAAATGTGAACCACCGCACACGGAAGAGGAACCCACCACCAAACAGAGAGGAAGGCTCGTCCACACACACGGGTCTGGGTCCCCGACCCCCCTGGAGAGAGAGCAAAAGTTCCAATTACACATACACACTTATTTTCCTAAAACTTGGTACTCAAAAAAAGAAAATGCAATATAAACAACCTACACAAAACCTTAACAAACAAAATTAAATAAATGCACAATTAAGTAAATTCACAAACTGGTCGAAGAGAGATTGCTTAATAGCTGATTTAGAATACTGGGTAAGCAATCAACCAGATCACAGAAAACTCACAATCCCACAAGAAAATAATAATAATCAAAAAGAAGATAAATACACAAACATGTTGACCAAAGAAAACGAAAATTCACAAAAACTTGGCTGGTACAAATAAAGAAAAATAAATCACAAGGAGAAACCAATCATTTAAATTATACCAGATCTTATTCACAACCATCATAAAGAACAAAATAAAGAAATAAACCAACTAAAGAGAAACATTAAAACACAAAAGCGCTTTCCATCTCGATATTGGCTAGTGAATGGCTAGTGGATGGTCAAACCGTTTCGAGGGGTTGTGGAGGAAGAGAAGGCGAGTTACGTTGCCGAATCTGCGACACACCAGGCGGCCACTCCAGCAGACGTTAAAGTGTCCAGCTTCGGAACTCACACAGAATATCGGCAAAACGCCCAGCAACAGCACGTGAGCACTGATCGCTGGCAAGGTGCAATCGATCTGCCGGTCTATACTGCAGCACCCCGCTGAGGGAGATTCAGCAAACTTCAAGAGTCGTCGTGAGGATTTAACCATACGAATAGCAACAAAGAAAACACGCTGGCAAAAGAGAGCGGCCAACAGAAAGCCCACTGCAACGTCCCGCACTCTGTCATTTCACGGAAAGATAAGGAAAAGATTAAGTAACCCACCCCACAACAACACGACTAATAATAAAACAACCTACCGGTTTGAACTTGTGGCACTAAAACATCCTATTGCAACGCACGTCGCTATAATGTATCACCGGAGTCCTCAGTCCACACTATAGGGAAAGGAGCCAGATAAGTAAATACAATCTTTACTCAAGATCAACACGTAGAAGTACAGCCACAACTGCAGCTCCTTACCAGACAGACAATTCCGTGACACGCCGGAAATGGATCACGTCACTCGTGACGATGGGACGCACATCCCAAAGGCACTAGCGCGCTGCTTTTATAGTCCACTAAATCATGCGAAATAGACCCGCCCCGTCGTTATGCCAACGGCAATTACTAACAACTGCTACACTTGGAACAATGTTTCGCCTGTTTTTTTGCGTCAAGATGTTGAGAATATCAGCGCTGTTTAATCTGGCTTTTAACTAGCTTAAATCACAGCCATCTGTGGGTTTATAATAGAGATAGAGAATTCTGCGCTGAATTGAAATGCTTCTCAGTGGATCGCGCAACTCTGTGTAATAATGTTCGCGTGATCGAAATCAGTCCGCACAGCTGCTTCGGCCGCGATCGCAGTTTTTTTGGGCCGGGCTGATAATGCTCCGCGCTGGCATCCAACTTAAAGGTGCATTGCTGCCACCTACAGTACTGGAGTGTGAAACAGATTAGTGGGGGGGGAAAAACAGGTGATGACTGCGTGTGTGGCGGGTGGTGGGCCGGCCCGCCGGCCGTCCTGGAGTACCAGCCGTTCTGTGATACTCCAGATCACACAGATGGCCAGTCCGCCCCTGCATGAGGGTGAGTAAAATAAGTAAGAATTTTATTTTTGGGTGAACTATCCGATTCATATGCTGTTGGTATGCTAATCCATGATCAGCATAGAGACTAATAAGGATAAACTGCAACCTCTTGTGTACTTGTAAACTGTGTTTGTTTTAATCTAGAGCTTCAAAGAAATAAAAATATTTGCTATTTTATAATATTAAAATAAAATACATCAGGTGTCTGAAGATCAGGATCCCAGTCATTCAAAGGTGATATGTCTGAACAAAGTAACATTATTGTCTGATGGAGACAGTTGATCTCTGGTATTATCCAAGGGTGTAATCCATCGACCGGAAGTTGAAGCCGGCCGGGTGCCGCCATGTTGTAGCAGAACTTCACTTGCGTTAGCATTTCCATTGACTCCCATTCATTTTGGCGTCACTTTGACAGCGAATAACTTTACATCTGAGTCGTTTAAAGACTCCATTTGTCCATTATTTATTTCTAAAGAAACACGACAATGTATAAAGGGCTCCATTACCTTCTATGTTACATTATGGCCCCGTAGAAACAGATTTAGTAAAAATAGGCTAACGATTGCGTCATAACCACTCGACTCTCTGTCGCGCTGTACAGAAATTACCGTACAGACAGGAGGAGAAGCTCGCAGGCAATCGGGGGGACGTCCCGTCAAGGGAGAAGCCCATAGATAATGAGTCCATAAAAGCAACGGAATACTTACTCCTGCTCACTCACGCCAAAGAACTCTTTGCTCAAGTTCCCCGTCTCTGCAAGATTAACGTTGGCAATTTTCACGCACATCTACTAGAAGAGTAACGTCTGTCAGACAGGTTGCTCACGTCATCAAGCTTAGTTTGAGTCGGTTTGAGTCTGCGCGTCAGGAACGGAAGTGCTCAGAAATCGCTTAAAATGGGCTTCAACTGTCTCAACTGAGTTTCAATGAGATGGCTCTGTCCACTTCTTATACTGTCTATGGTATTATCACTCCATCCTCTGTGTCAGCATCAGAATTGTGTTTATGGAAAAGTTGCTCAACTCCCTGGAAAATGAGAAAGGAAATGTATTATAATCTAACAATACAAACTGCTTTGAACTTCCACATGCAGTAACAAGTTGCAGACTTAAAATAATTATTTCAAACAAATTATATAAATGTTTTAAGGGATTTTACAGTACTAAATATTTACCTCCGAGTCATGCACCATTTATCATCTGTAATACTGTTGTCAAGTCAAGTCATCTTCATTTATATAGCGCTTTTAACAATGGATTGTTTCAAAGCAGCTTTACAGAGATAAACATATCATTTAAGGTAACAGATTGTTTTGGCGTTATAGCGGTTCTTGAATAATGTTACTTCCAGCTAAAGTTAACTTTGATTGATTCACCTCCGTCGAAATGATCAGACTTTAAACGCGAACCTGTGATTAACGCTGACGGCGCTCACATGCTCATTCAGAATTCTATAGTTATGTGCTTTTTAAAATATGTGCGCAGGTTTGTAATTCATACAACCCAGCCTAAACAAACTACTTTTCTTGCCTATAAATTTTGATACAGAATTTTGTTTTATTTTATCACTTCGGGGTACGCGAGCCGGAATTCACAGCGCTTTATCTGTAGAGTGGGAAAGGGATCCTCCATAGGGAGAGGATAGTGGATACTTCAGCACTGCATTGTCATCAGGTCCAGGCAAAGCTCCCTCGTCAGATCTGGTTGTGTAACCAGTAGATGGCTGTATAGCCCTATACACATTTATCCATGGCTGTGTATTCCCTAGTTGCTGGATGTTTTCAGTCATAATTACTTGCATGTATTAGGTTTTGCATTTGGACATATATTTATTATTAAAGACTATTAAAAATTCAACAATTTTCTCCGAAATGTTTTTTTTTTTTTTTTGCATTATTATTGCTCAAATATGGACACAGAAAAATCATTTTGTTGCATTTTGCAGAATAAATATTGTGCCCAGGGTGATACTTCAAAAAAATTGATTGTTTACATATTATGAATAGAGACGTGGAATGTGGTCAAGTCCTGTCTCTCCTCTTTTAAAAACTCTGCATCGCAAATTAATCAGCAATTGGTTTTACATTGCCAAAGTTGAATCGGGCAGTGATTGACAGCGCTCTGGTCCAATGGCATCGATCATTGTCTGATACAGTACTTTTTGTACTGTAGGCTACAGTACAGATACTGTACAGTACTCTAGCCCAATGTTGTTTGGGGTGGCAGGGGGGAAATATGATCTAATCGAAGACTGTAATGTAACCGTATGTAACGTTAGTTCAACAAGTCATGTAATGATTGGGCTAATACTTACCAATTAAATCAAGACGACACTGCTGTATAATGTTATGGGCTCTCACTGAGCTCTAATATGCCTCTCCACCTGAAAAAGCAAGTGCTGTATTATAAATAGTATTAGTTTAGTATTAATTAATAAAAAAAACAAAAAAAAATCTGACTTACCACGAGTAGGCTATCCAGTATTCTAATGTGGACGATGATAAATTATATCATTTGTCTGTACTATTCCTTCTATAACAAATCATCTCAACAATATAGTGTAGCAGTAAATAAATACAGATATAAACTTAAAGGGATACTCCACCGTTTTTTCATATTAAACTATGTTATTCTCTTATCTAAGACGAGTTGATACATACCTCTCTCGTCTCAGTGAATCGCTCTGTCGGGCGGAGAACTTTGAGAGCAGTTAGCTTAGCCCCATTC